AGCTGCACAGCAGGAGTGCAGTCGGGAGAGTGGTGGAGGTCCTGGCAGAGGCTGTGGCCGTTGTTACTCTGGCCTTCTGCCACCTCCTTGCCTGCCACATCTGCCTGGTCCTCAAGTGCTGTGGCATTTCCCCCCCACTCCCTTGGGCCCTGCTCTCCCTCTTCCCCGTCACTGCTCTGGCTGCCTCCCTGGTTGCAGGCTGGCCTCTCCAGAGCTGAGCGGCTGGGGGCAGCCTTCCCAACACAGGCGTGAGCACACACACTCAGCTTTGCAGTCTGCAGTGGTCCCCCTCCCCATAGAGCCCAGTCTAGAAACACCTGCCCTCCTTACCTATCACCTCACACTTGGTCTCAGAACCACTGCCTCCCTGCAGACCCCCTCCTGACCGTAACACCCGCTCCCATCCTGCAAGACCCTGTGACCCAGAAAACTCAGGCGCAGGCTCCCCACACCCCTTCCAGGGCAAAGCTGAGCATCTCCAGGGCTAAGGAGGTATTTCTTGGTCGCATCTTCGACCTTCACTCGGTGGGGTCAGGGCGGGAGCCCGGTGGGTACGAGTGTACAAACCACTGTGTGTGTACGAGGGATGGCCGATCAGCCTCTTCTGCCACCCACAGGGTCTGTGAAGTGGAGTTCATCTTCGAGGGCTCCGAGGCCTCTGGACGGAGAGTGGACGGGCTGGCTTTTGTGAATGAGGATGTCGTGGGTGAGTGAACCCAGCTCAGAGGACTGCCAGGCCTCTTGGGACCCATATGGGCGGCCTATCTCAGGGCTGGGGTTTCCATTGAAGGGCTTCTGAGGCACGTCCAGTGGAGTGAGGTCTGGTGAGGGACTGGCCCAGGCCCAATTTGCTGTCTCCCCCACAGCTTCCAAGGGGAGTGGCCAAGGCACCATCTGCCTGTGGAGCTGGAGCCAGACGTGGGTGGGCCGGGGCAGCCAGACCACAGTGGCGGTGGTCGTCCTGGCCTGGCTGCAGTGGTCGCCCACCGAGCTGGCCTACTTCTCACTTAGCACCTGCCCAGGTGAGCCTGCCTGCCTGCTCCACCCCACCCTTCACCTCCTGGAGCTCTGCCCCACCTTAGGCTCCCACCTGTCCTGGCAGATGAGGGGATCGTGCTCTGCGGGGACGAGGAGGGTAACGTGTGGATCTATGACGTCAGGCATGTCCTGGAGCGACCACCCGCACCGCCAGCCACTCTGCAGGCCCCCACACAGGTACGCCTAGCTCACTCTTCCCCATGCTGGGCTGGTGCAGCAGGGGGGCCTGGTGTCTAGAAGCAGGAGCACAGCCCCCCACTTTCATCCCACCAGATCCTTAAGTGGCCTCAGCCCTGGGCCCTCGGCCAGTCGGTGACCAAGACCATGGTGAACACGGTGGTGGCCAACCCCACCTTTACCTACCTCACTGCCCTGACGGACTCCAATATTGTAGCCATCTGGAAGAGACATTAGCCGTGGGCAGGAGCTCCTGCCTCTGTCGCCAAGTAGTGGGACACAACTTAACTTATTCAGCCAATGGTGGAGGTCTTCCTATCAGCGAATATTTTTATTAAACTGCTGTGGATAAGAAGCTGTGGGGAGCTGCTTACACTTCCGCAGGTCCCAGCCTGTGTTCCTACTTGGCTCTGACACAGGCAGACCTAGCAGCTGAGGCTTCTAGAACAGAGGTTCGTGTAAGTAACTGGGTTTTTACAGCTCCCTTCCGCTGCCTCCCAGCAGCCCTCGGGTTCTGTCCCTGCCAGCCTCTCAGACAAGGAAAGCAGTCTCTAGCCAGTGCACTCTGAAATGCGGCCGAATGTCTCCGAACAGGTCACCTGCCTCCATCAAGCCTGACATCCGCGCTGCTTAAGCTCACTTCAGGGTCTTTTCTGCAACTTTATTAGGAAGACGAAACAGAACCTATGTACAGGACACGGCAGTGTCGGTGTGGCCCACCAGGATAGCTACCGGGAGGGTCCCCACTGTTTCTGGCCAGGCTCCTCTGCTCAGTGCCTGGTGGGAAGGGGTTGGTGCAGGTCAGGCCTGGAGATCCGGCCCACTATTCGATGCCTTCTTGCTTGTCTTTGATGGCCACCTGGGGGAGAAGCAGAGGCAGTGACTTAGCTGCAGGGGCTGAGTGGAAACCACTCGAGCAAGTTCTGGCCGAGGTCTGCTGGGTCCCTCCTCGAGTCCAGCTGTGGGCTCTGCTGCAAGGCGAGAGCTGAGCAGTGGCAGCGAGCCCGGCCCAACGCTGCTCTGAGCTGGCCCAGCACACACCGTTCTCTCTGTGGCCCACCTGCTGCTGCCTGGGTGGAGTCTGCTGGAGCAGAGGTGCTTTCCCACTCTAAACTGCCCTGGACTCAGGCCCCCTGCTGCAAACAGGCACCCCTACCCTTGGGTGAGCTGCCCCCTGGACAAATACCTGGAAGTGTCAGGCCTACAAACCAGAGCAGCTAGCTCTATGGAGGAGACAAGACCCTGGGGTGCTAGGGCAGACCATAAGCCTTGACGTTCCCCTCCCTTAGTCCACACCTCTTGGAGGCTATGGTGCTCATTTCTGCTCCAATTGCCTCCAAGCTGGCCTCCAGCCCCTTTCCCCCCAGCTGCACCCAGGCTCCTCACCCGGAACCGTTCTTCTAGCAGGGAGAGCTCGCTGATGAGGTCGGTGATGGCATTGGTGAAGGCCTCCTGGGGGCTGTAGTCCGGTGTGGTCTGCACACGGATAATGATCTTGTGCTCTAAGGGGTGAGGGACCTTGTAGCCAGCAAAGAGCACCTGTGGGTCCTTTAGCAACTGCCTGAGATGGAGGGGGCAGTGGGTGGGGTGAGTCTGGTGCCCCTGGGACTCTGGCCCAAACCAGGCAGCCCCCAGCTCAGTTACTAGGCAAGTTTTCCTAAAGATCTCCAATTGAAATGGGCATGTTCCCATTGCACAGTGGTTATAAGGATGCCAGGTCACACACAGCCAACCACTGTTTGAGTCCTGGCCTGGTGACTTAAAAAACACACTGGGTGCACATGAGTTCCTGGGTACCCCAAATCCTGACGGAATAGAGGAGAAAAGATTGTGGCATGACTACTCTCTACTAGGGAGGTGCTTTCTCCCTGTCTGTGGTGACCACAGGTACCCTCTGGCAGTTAAAAATGTTAGTAAATACAAGACACATTTTCAAGAAGATAGACCATTGGGGACACCCCCTATACATGCACATATGCATACAATGGAGGATCAAGGGATCTTGCTGGAAACAAGTTGGGCCCTAAAATACCAGCAGAGGGGCTGCCCTCAGCAGAAAGATCAGCAAACCAGAATGCAGGCCCCATTCCTAGCCCAGAAATCATTGGCACAGCGGTAGAAGAGGGGCCTAGGTCCCAGCACGTGGTGTGGAATGTGAAGTCCCTGGGCACGCAGCTGGCAGCTGCTGTCCACATGCACGGTCCTATTCTAAGGCTGCGTCACATGCAGTAGCTGGGCAAGCAGGGTCTTCTCCAGACTAGCTCAGAGTCGACTGTAAGCATGTGGCTTGACCCAGGGCAGGAGTCATCAAGGCAGAAGGGTGGGCAGCCCATAGCACTCCTGTCCTGCTGTGCCAGGAGACTGGGCAGACTGGCCACAGCCTCAAACATGCAAGCCTAGGAAGGGCAGGTTTCCTGATGACACTGGAGGCCAAAGCCAAGTCTCAGTGAAACAAGTCCTTGGGCCACAGTGAGAGTCACATCCCTGACCACACCAACCAGTGTTGGAGTCCCCACCAGGGCACTGGATACCCACAGAATCCTGCTTCCACTTTCTTCTCCAGTTCCATGGAAGTTCCCATCTCTACCACATGCTGCTAAGAGTGCCAGGTGTAATGAGGCCACCCAGGTGTGGAAGGGGATGCACCCTGACAGCTGCTCAGTGCTCACGAGTGTAAAAACACAAGTAGGCCCCCTTTTCTATGGCTTGCTGCACACTGCCCTTCACTCAGGTGAATAAGCCAATACAGATGGGGGTGCTTATGGAGACAGGTCATTTTTGGAAGAAAGGTCCTAGAACTGTTAAGTGCCAGAGCACTGCAGCCTAGTCCACCTGAACCATGCTGGGCATGCGCTTGAGCATCCAAAGTCCATCGGACTGGAGGAGGGGGATCACAGCATGTCCTGACCCTAAGAGAGGGTGCTCATCCCACCCCCCAACTCCACATGTGCATGCACGTACTCTATAATGATATTTTTTGTTTTGTTTTTTAAATGCCAGAGCAATCACCCACAAAGACTTTCTGTAGCTCAAAGATTGTGGAGAGGGCCAGGTAGCAGTACCGCGGTAACACGACTGGACTCATGCAAAGGTCATGAGTTCGCATCCCAGGGCATCCCCAAGCACACCAGCCACAAACATCTGCCCGTAATCTGGGCCAGCGGAGAGAGTGGTTGCAGGAAGACCCTGTTGGGGGTGCTTCCTGTTGGAAGAAAAAGCTTAAAAATACATAAAGACCTCAAAACATCTGGAGCTTTACTCCAACGACCCCACGCCCCACTAAACACAGCTCCTAAAAGCCTCTGACCTGGAACTTACGATTTAATGATGTTTCCCAGTGTGTGGTCTTCTTTGTTGATGGTGAATAAACAGGCATTAGGTACCTTGGTGTCCTTGTTAATGGTGATCCTAGGAAGAGGAGAGGTGACAGATGAGGGGCTGGCCCCTCCTCCCCTGACTTTAACCCCTGCCTTTCCTCCCGGAGCAGTTCTCAATCTGTTCATGCCATAAAGACCTCTGCAGAGCAGCACTGTCTAAAACCTGGCCCTAGCTACCCCAACTCCGAGGAGCTATCTTGTCCACTGTGGCATCCTTGGCAGCTACCCACTAGCAACCTAAGCGTGACACCCAAACTGTTTCCACACACATTGCCAAATAGCCCCTGTGGCAAAATGAGCCCCAGCTGAGAGTCTGCTCCCAAGCGAGGCTGACATGCTGGCCAGGGCCAGACCACAGAACCCTGCATCCCAGGCGGCTAAGAAAACCCAGCAGTTAAGAGGTCTATGTGCTGAGCCTACAGAAGCTACCATCACTTGCCCATATGTGGCCAGGTGTCACGAGGTCACTCACAAATAGGGGTAAAGTAATTACATAAATCATTTCATCTCTTTTTTTTTTTTTTTTGGAGAGGTTTTTGCTATAGGGCACGTGCGCTCACCAGACAGACAGAGACATAGAGACAGAAAGTGAGAAATCACCCCCCAGGGGGGATGGTCACGTCGCAATCCCTTCTCCTCCATTCTCCTCTCAGGATCTTGGGCATGCATGCACACGTGCCCGGCGTGAGTTTTAAGCCACCGGGTCCGGGACGCGAACCGCGTTCCACTACGTGGGAGTCCAGCGACATGGCCATTACACTAACTGCTGGTTCCCAATCATTTCATCTCTTTTAAGAGAAGATCCGGTGATTAAAAACATTAACAAACCCATTTTCCAAATGAGGAAACAACCTCAGGCAGTTCAAGTCTCCTGCCCAGAGACTTAGGGCTGGTAAGTGGGGGGTCCGGGAGCCAAGCCCAGGCTGTCTGATCTCTAGGCCCGTTCCCCTGCGGGCAGCAGGGCTCACTGGGCGTTTTAAACCGGTGAACCACAGACCGGACCGGACCTGACCTTAGGGCCATCACTCTGGCTGCCTCCTGGAGAATGGAGGTGGTAGTGAAAAGCCCAGCAAGGAGGATGCCAGATCCCAGAGGAAAAGGTCTTGGGAGCCAGGCACTCTTCTGGGTTGCAATACTGATGCCTCCACTTTCTCCCTGCGTGTCCCGGGCAAGTTATATAACCTCTGAGCCTCGGTTTCCTCACCCGTGAAATGGGCTCACCACCCACAGAACTGTCTGAAGTTTGGCAGACCCCCTCACCCTCCCGCAGCGGACCTGGCTCGAGCAAAACCAGCTTCGGTGCCGGGAGCAGAATCCGTAGACCTGACGGTACAGATCCCAGCCCAGAACCTC